GCTGCATAAATGACAAAGCACCAAAAAGGGAAAAAGAAGAAAAAGAAAAAACAGGGGATGAAGATGCTGAAAAGCTTACTCTAGAAAAAAAACATGCATATAAATGCTTTTAATTAGTGAAAAAGGTAATTACGTGCATTTCTATACTCAAAAAAGGATAAGTTCTCATAAAATATCTAGAGAACATTTCAGATTCTTCATTTCTTTGACCTCCCATTTTTCACAACATTTCTTTGGCAGAGTTGTTTTGGGTCTTTTATTAGCACCTCACTTACTTTCTTCAAAACTTTCTTATAAGCATTTCTAATGCTAAAAAGTAGAGTTTCCCTCCAATACTTCTTTAGACTTGTGAGAGAAAAAAGTGCTTATAAACAAGTTGAAGAATAAGCTCTGCCAAACAAACAGTCATTGAGGGTCATTAGCTCCCTTGCACTTACCAGTCAAATGCATGCTGAAGCCAAGGTATAACACGATAATATTTTCAAATACTTCACAAATGACCCTCTCCATGCCTCTTATCTGCGAAGATATCTTAACCAAAAAGGCAGATAAGAAATGTTATAAAATTGTATCGTTTGATGAGTATTCCATAAGTTGATCAGTACAACCTCCAGTTGAAAACAAATTTTGGTTCACAAGTTAGAATTACATCAGCTCTAAATGTACAGAAACCTTCTAAAGCTCAGCTAACTCATTGACATATAATTACATTTGACATACAAAAAGCCCATTTTCCATAGCCTCCCCTACCCTCTACCTCGTCCTTATCTTCTCCTATTGGCATTGGCACAGGATGACTCCATGAACATACGGTCAGCCAGTTTATATTGGCATGTAATGACTCCATTAAACCTTATAAGCAATCAAACTTATGCATATAGGGATGGAAGAAATGAAGGACTTCAACTAGTCTTCAACTTTTCTTTGCAAACCATAGAAAATAAAAGCCAGAAATCAACTAGAATGTCAAATAAAATAGAGCAAGTTAGATGTCCATTATACCTGAAGTGACTCCTCAGTATAGCTTCTTTCACTTTATGCAAGTTAGATATTTCAACAACAATAGAGCTTCCGCTTGAATAACCCATCTTCCCATCTTCCCATCTAATGTAATCTTTGCAACAGACTCAAGGACACCCTCATGGAAACTAGATCCAGACATGCTGGGAGCAAGACGGCTACTAGGAGAAGCAGATCCACCAGAAGCTCCACCAATGCTATTATCAAATAAAGGAACTCTCTGTAAGGCATAATTCGAGACCACACCTGCAGTTTCTGCCTTTCTCTCTCAGTCAAGTGCACCTGTTAAGGAGAAGATAGAGAACAACAATAATTAGAAGGAATTTATTTGAGATGCAGAGGGTAAAGAAATGATTACCATTAAGCAATAACAACAGTCAAAAACCATACAGCTACTAAAATAAATCAAAATTATATTTATTTTCCCTGAGCTTTCATCAACTCTAAAATATTAAGGGTGTCCTACAACAAACTTGATGTTCAGTTCAACATTAATGGCTGAAGATCTACCCTCGTATTCCAATAGCCAAAACTATGTTGCCTCACACATGCAACAATTCTCAACTGACATAGTTTAAATT